TTGGAGTACAAGTTTTCAAAATAATTTCTAATTATCTTCTGTATTTCTGTAATGTCTGTTGTGATATTTCCTTTTTCATCATGTATATTAGTGATTTGAGTTTTCTCCCCTTTGTTAGCATGGCTGCTAAGGGTTTGTCAATTTTATTTATTTTTTCAAAGAACCAACTTTTTGTTTTGTCAATTTTTTCAATTTGTTTTTGTTTCAATTTCAGCTCTGATTTTAGTTATTTCCTGTCTTCTACAACTTTTGATGTTGATTTGTTCTTCTTTTTCTAAGGCTTTGAGATGTAATGTTAAGTCCTTTATTTGTTGACTTTTTCTTCTTTTAAGGAATGAACTCCATGCAATGAACTTTCCTCTTAGTCCTGCCTTCAGAGTATCCCAGATATTTCGATACTTTGTATCTGTGTTCTCTCAACTCTAAGAATTTTTAAATCTCCTCCTTGACTGTCTTTTGCAACCCATTGTTCATTCAGTCGCATATTATTTTGTCTCCAGGTGCTGGAGTAGCTTCTATTTTTTATTTTACCATTAATTTCTAATTTCATTTCATTATGATCTGATAAAATGCAGGGTAGTATATTTACATTTTTTCTTATTTGCTAAGAGTTGCTTTGTGGCATAATATATGGCCTATTTTAGAGAAGGATCCATGTGCTGCTGAGAAGAAAGTGTATTTGTTCATTGAAGGATGAAATATTCTATATATGTCAGTTAAGTCTAAGTTATTAATTGTATTATTGAGTCCTTTTTATTTATTTATTTATTATTGTATTTATTATTTATTTATTTATTATTGTATTTTATTTATTTTATTTATTTATTATTGTATTTATTGAGTTTCTTTTTTAAGTTTTTTGTTGGACAATCTATCCAGAGGTGTGTTAAAGTCATCCAGAATTATTGTATTGTCTATTTGACTCTTAAACCTGAGAAGATTTTGTTTGATGAACATAGATGCTCCATTATTTGGGGCATATAAATTTATTATTGTGGGGCTGGGGATGTGGCCCAAGCAGTAGTGCACTCTCCTGGCATGCTCGGGGCGCTGGGTTTGATCCTCAGCACCACATAAAAAATAAAATAAAAATGTTGTGTCCGCTGAAAACTAAAAAAATAAATATTAAAAAATTCTCTCTCTCTTCTCTCTCTCTCTTTCTCAATAAATAAATAAATTTATTATTGTTATGTCTTGTTGGTGTATGGTTCCCTTGAGCAGTATGTAGTGTCCTTCTTAATCCCTTTTGATTAACTTTGTCTTGAAGTCTACTTTATTTGATATGAGGCTAGAAACCCCTACTTGCTTCCACAGTCCATGTGAGTAGTATGATTTTTCCCAACCCTTCACCTTCGGTCTGTGGATGTCTTTTCCTATGAGATGAGTCTCTTGGAGGCAGAATGTTGTTGAGTATTTCTTTTTAATCCAATCTGCCAGTCTATGTCTTTTGATTCATGAGTTTAGGCCATTATCATTCAGGGTTATTATTGAGACATGATTTGTATTCCCAGCCATTTTTGTTTATTTTTCGTATTTAATTTGACTTGGTTTCTCCTCTGATTAGATTTTCCTTTAGTATAATCCATCCCTCTGCTGATTTTCCTTGTTGTTTTTTATATCCTCCTTATGGAATATTCTGCCAAGGATGTTCTGTACTGCAGGCTTCTAGTTGTAAATTCTTTTAACTTTTGTTTATCATGGGAGGTTTTTATTTCATCATCAAATCTAAAGCTTAATTTTGCTGGATATAAGATTCTTGGTTGGCATCCATTTTCTTTCAGAGCTTGGTATGTGTTCTTCCAGAATCTACTTGGTATTCAGGGTCTGGGTTGAAAAATCTGCAGAGATCCTTATTGGTTTCCCCCTATATGTAATCTGATCCCTTTCTCTTGTGACTTTTAATATTCTCTCCTTATTCTGTATGTTAGGCATTTTCATTATAATGTGCCTTGGTGTGGATCTGTTGTGATTTTGTACATTTGGTGTCCTGTAAGCCTCTTGTATTTGATTTTCCAGTTCATTCTTCATGTTTGAAAAATTTTCTGATATTATTTCATTACTGCTCATTCCTTTGGTTTGGAACTCTATCCCTTCCTTTCTCCCAATAACTCTTAAATTGGTTTTTTTTTATGCTATCCCATATTTCTTGACTGTTCAGCTCATCGTTTCTTACTATTTTCACTGTGTGATCTACATTCTCTTCAAGATTATATATTTTGTCTTCATTGTCTGAGGTTCTGTCTTCCAAGTGGTCTAATCTGTTGGTGATGCTTTCAATTGTACTTTTAATTTGGTTTATTGTTTCTTTCATTTCAGGGAGTGCTGGGTTGTTTGTTTTTGTTGTTGTTGTTTTGTTTTGTTTTGTTTTGTTTTTTCAGAAACTCTATCTCCCTGTTGAAGTAACCTTTTACTTCCTGTATTTGTTTATGCAGCTCTTTATCAAAGTGATCTTTTGCTGCCTGTACTTGCTCTTATATCATCCTTTAATTTGCAGAACATTTTAATTATATACATCCTGAACTCCTTCTCTGTCATTTGTCTGCTGTGCTGGCCATGGATTCCAATAATGTGGTTTCTTGATTTGTTTGTGGCACTTTCTTCCTTTGTCTTTTCATATTTTTTGTGGGTCTTCCCTTCTAGCTTTGTGGATCAAAGGCGTTACCATTCTTACCCGATAGGTTTACAGTGCCCCTGAAGGGTTCCAAGAATTCTCTTTTGAGGTGAAGGACAGTGTTGTCTGATTCCAATATAAACAATATACACTCTAAAAACAAATGTTTGCTAATAAAACATTTATGGTTTTGTCTCGATATACAGAAATGTTGATTTCAATTATTATCTACAATATAAGCAAAAGGGTCTAGATGGTGGAAAAGAGAGAACTGGTTGTGGCATGTAGGATGATATGTTAAGGAGGTAGGAGGTGAGCATATAGAGTTATTAGATCTTAGGAAGCTAGGAAGAGGAATCTAAAGAAGTTGACTAGTAGCTGGAGAAAAGAGAGAAAGTGATTTGCAGGAGACAAGTAAGTGGTAAGACAATAGAGAGGGTATCAAAAAAACATGAAAATTAAGAAAAATGAAAAATGTAAAAATAGGAGATAGACGAATATATAACACCACTGTAATATACTATTCAGGCATCCCAGTCCTCAGTATCCTAATTCATGAAAAATACTCGGTTTCACAAATGTTGGGGGTGTGAGGGCAGGAGAAGACAGAGAGAGAGAAAAGAAGGGGGAAAAAGAGGAAAAAAATCCTGAAGGAAAATACAAGGATTGTTTTTGATGGAGTTCAGTATCTTTCCTGTTTCCTTTCTCATCCAATAGATGGGGTTGTCTGTTGTTTGCTGGTATCTCCATCCTCAGGATGGTGAAGGTTATTAGGGTGGGAGGGTTGGTCCTGGAGGTGGGATATAGCACTTGCCAGTCTCTGATGGGAGACTGCACACCAAGGATCTCCTTTGGGGCCTGCTCATGTGATGTGAGCTTCTGGTCTTATCTCCTTATATTCCCTGTAGACCTCACAATTCCTGGTCTCTGATTTAGTCTCTAAACTGTATCTCACTCACCCTCTCCCTTTCTACTTCCCAATCAGAAACCTTTCTCATTGGAGGTCTAGTGGGCTACATGTTGGCGGCTGTACTCTGGAGGCTGTGCACCTGTAGAGAGGTGTCTTGTATTGGGCAGTTCAGGGCCAAGCTTTGTGAGCTACTGACCAGCCACATAGCCGCAAGCACTGTGCAGGGTTAGTGGCTGTAGGAGAAAGGAGAGAGTTGGGGACTATAGGTACCTTGATATTGCTTCTAGGCCCCAGCAGGTGTCCCATGAAAGAGTTGCCCCAACTAAAGATGGTGACAAAGATGTCCCAAAATGGAGGTAGCTGCTTTCAGAGATGGGACGTCAGGTCAGGTTGGGCTGGGTAGTGGCATTGCATGACATGTTCATAGATGCAGCTCTGTGGTGTGCAGAGTTGTGATTGACAGCTATCTCCAGATCCTGTCCTGTGTCCCCAGGTGCAGGCTATCACATGTAGGGGACTATGGGAGTGATTGCATTGTCCCAAGATGGAGGTGACCCGGGGAGCCCCATGTTGGTAGATGGGGGTCCATATGGAGTGGCAACCGGAGGTCCTGTGTGTGGGCAGCAGCCAGGTACTGCATGGGTGGTCCTGCTGTGGCACAGAAGCTGTGATACCTGGGTGGGAGCAGCTGTCTGGGGTCCTCTAATAACTCACAGAAAAACATTATTCCCACTACTTGAATCCCAGGTCACAGGGCGACACAGAATGCAGCCTCCCTCTAGCCCACCATCTTGGAAGACCTGGCCAGTCATTTTGACTTGCTCCTGAAGTCTGACACCTCTACATTTGAGGTCTCTCTATATTCAGGTTCTTCCATCTGAGAAGAAAATTGACTTTTTTTATTGTTGCTACTATTTTTGTTTTAAAGTGAATTTTTGGTTTGTTTTCTGAGGAACATTTCAGAAAAGTAACAATCCTGAAGCTGCCCTTTGTCTTCAATATATCCTTCAACTTTTTAATCCAATAAATGCAGTCATGCATTGCTTAACAACTGAGACATGCATCATTGGGCAATTTTGCCTTTGTGGGAACATCATAGAATGTACTTACTCTAAAATGACTGAGCTGTCATTGTACCTGGTACTTTCACTAGCTCAGAAACAAAGAGGGAGAAGGTTGATACTCAGGGACATGGCTAGTACCTTCACGGAACTTGGGGAGCCATTGGGAGAGTCAATAAATCCACATCATCTATAGAATGATTAAAAGATGCTGCTTGTTGCAATTCAAAGGGAAAAACAATCAAAGCATTTGTCTGACAGGTGAGTCCTAATTGACAGCTGAACATCAAGAAGCAAATAAGTCAACCCTCCTTAAAATTCAAGATGGTACTCCCAGAAAGGATATAAGAAGGCTGAAATAGCATCTTAGTTTTGAAGTGATATTATTGGACTCATCAAGACATTAATACATTTTATCACTCCTTGTACTTTGGCTAATATCAAGTGCTGCATCTGTTCTTATCGGTTTAATACTTGATATGTTCTCTATCCAAAAGACAATATACTAAATGGATTTTTGGAATTAAGATATAGACTAGGACCTTGCTCCAACCACTCCATGCATTGACCTGGTATTGCAGTACCTCCAGGAACAGCGCACTCCACTTCAGCAGGGCAGGGAGTAGAGGGAATTGCACACATATTTAGGGAGATCCACTCAACAATTAATATAACACCTTTCTCTAGGAGGCTTCTTGCAGAAGCACTTTTTAGATTCCATAAAATGGTTGCATAAGTGATTAATTTCACAATGTGAAATGAAATGGGAAGTAACTTTTTTAAATGGTGGAAGGGCAAGTGCAACTTGGTGACTTTCATTTGCTTGGATGAATGGAAATCACATTTCTTCAGAGAGGAATGGTGGGCTTGTCACATGTAGAAGAAGTGGTGTCGATACCGTAAGAGAACTCTGATACAGCTCCGTTCTATAAATGCAAACCTAGAGGATGGAAATGGCAGAAATACCTCTCTCTTGCTCCCTTGCTCACTTTCTCTCTGGAAAAAAAAAACATATTTTTTTCACACTTGGTTTTGTTGTCCCCCAAAGAAATTACAGTTTAATGCCAGAGTAACACAAAAGCACAGGAAAACCCTAGTGGTCTGGTGCTAAATGATTGTGTGACTCAATTGATCCATTTGCAAGGAGGGTTACCAAAAGTAATGACCACTGTCATCAAGAATTATAGCAGATCTCAAGGAATGGGCAGAGCATGGGGAGTGGTTCATGCATTGGTATTTTGACACAAAAACATTAAGATGTGAGTGAATTGTTCTAGGCAGGAGACACATAGGGACATGTGAGGATTTAGTGAGGAAACTAGCCTGGCCAGATCATGATGGAGGGAATGTGATGTGGGAATGAGGGTGAGATGATGGGGCAGGCAGCACCTTTCAAATCCAGGCTAAATCATTGTTGTTGTTTGAGGGTTTTATGATTGTTTAGTTGGTTGGGTTTTTGTTTATGTTTCTGTTTTGTTGGTGGTGGTTTTTTTTTTTGGGGGGGGGTGTTTGTTGATTTGTTTTGTTTTGTTTGCACAGGGGATTGAACTCAGAGGTGCTTTACTACTAAGGCACATCCCCAGCCCTTTTTATTTTTTATTTTGAGATAATCTCACTAAGTTACTTAGGGCCTCACTAAGTTGCTGAGGCTGGCCTCAAACTTGAAGTCCTTGTGCCTCAGCCTCCAAAGTTGCTGGGGTTCTAGGAGTGCCCAGCCGAGCCAGGATCATTGTTGAATCTTTAAGAAAGTAAAAAGTACTTGTGATTATAAAAGAATCCAAAACATAGACATTTGAGAGACCTAAATCAATTCCCCTAATTGATCCCAGCTGAAAACCCCTATATAGAGGAAATGAGCAAGACAGGAGACATGTAGGGCTAAAAAAGATTGTATCATCCTTAGGTCAGATCCAGCCTGAGGTCCTAACCTGGTAATGATAAACCTTACATCTTACACAGACCCCATCCTTTCCAAGTCCAGCCTTTGAGTCTCTCCAGTTGAGACTCCAAAAATAGTATTACAGAAACAAGTCAACCTGATTCCTTACCCACAACTCTTTAAGCATAATGAAATAGTAGCTAGAAGCTATCATGTCCTGGGTCAATTTGTAATGCAGCAAAAGTAGCGGGAACACATACACTGACCTCTTGAGCAATATTGTTTGGATTCTGCCATTCAGTGCTGGAGAGAAGGCCTACTACAGTTTGATTTTTTTACTCCTTTATGATTAGCATATTTTATTGTTTTGTTTTCTCTGCTCAGCTGCTTCTAGCATCTTGTTTCTATCATTGCAATTCAAATATGCCCTGGAATATGGTTAAGTATAGATCTCGTGTTATTAATCTTGCCTAGAATGTGGTGAGCCTATCAGTCTATACATTGTTAAGCATTTTGTTTTGCATCAGTTACAGTGTTTTATTTTGCTTGTTTGCTTTCCAGTAATATTGTTAGGAACATTGCCAACTGAGGAGCTGGGGCCACTGATACATTTGGGACATGGCATTCAAGCTGTTACCCCGCTACTGCCCAGCTCCTGTTATTGCTACTCCAGCAATGAAGACATCAAGTAGGCTTCTAACTCTGGGTAGAATGCAGGCTCAGTTTTGTATACATTACAGTGAATATAAGCAATAGTCATGTTCTAAGTTAATAATTTGGACCACCAGGTCTTAAGACTTAAGGCTCAACATTTGTCTTCCATAACACCCATGCAACCCAGCCCCTCTTGGTGTTGCCTCCTTTGTGACACCTACCTATTCTCAGGTCTCTGAAAGTTATGACTTTCTAGCTATAAATTCCTAAGAGTCCATTCCAAATGCCAGTACCAATAAGGGGGGGAAAACACTGATCCCCCATCTCTTTCTCCTGAGGCTTATCAATAAGGAGATATTGAGGTTTCTGAAGTAGTGTCATCCAGGTCTCCATGAAAACATTATATGATTTTAGACCATTCCCACTGCTTCTTATAGTATTCATTACTGAGAAACCATTTAGGGACATTCCTATCTCCTAAAATTTTGGATTTGTATTCTCTTCGTATTTGTTTCGTCAGTTTACCTTTTTTTTCTTAATATGTTTATTCCTATGCATCTTGTGGATTTGGGCTTCCATTTCATTAAAAGCTTCATTTATGTCTCAATCAATATGCCTTGTAACTTTCTTCTGGCTCCAGGATTTGGTCCTTTTTAACTGTCGGGCTTCTCCCTGAGTCTTCAGGATAATGTTCTTCTCTTGTTCCTAGTATTTTACCTTCTAATTCTTCTCGTTCCTAATATTTTACTTTCCAATCTTTCTGTGTTAATGTCTTTTTTTTTTCCTGGTTTATTTATTTTTGAATGAGAAGCTCTATCCAAATCCAGCGTTGGTCACCAGACTCACTGTTGGGTTACCCTTGATCTGTCCAGTAATTTAATCACCTTCTCAGATATGTTAGAAGTACACAGATCTTTGACAAATACCCTGTGGCTAAAGGACCTACAGCATTGACGTGGGACATCCTCCTATCCTCCCTGAAGATCTTTCCGACACTATGAACATATGAAATGACTAAAAATGACAATACACTATATGCACTGCCACTAGGAGATTTTTTTTACCTGTTCCTGCTTACCTACACATTTGTGATTTATGACTTTTTTTTTTTTTTTTGGTATGGGGGACAGAACACAGAAGCATTTTACCACTGAGCTCTATCCCCAGCCCTTTTTATTTTTATTTGGAGACAGATTTTTACTAGGTTGCTGAGGCTGGCCTGGCACTTGGGATCCTCCTACCTCATCCACCCAGGTTGATGGCATTGTAGACAGTGCCACCATGATTTGCAGCTCTTAAAGTAAGATGGGCCACCATCAGCCTTTACCTCTTATTCGTCTGTTGTGATTCTAGAAATGTGTATTCCTTAATAGCTGTGGGAAAGAAGTCATGGCTGGGCATAGCAGAGATGAGGAGCAGAGAGAGAATGGACAGAGCCTTTCTGGGGGTTAATAGAGACATCGTGGTACCAAACTCATAGGCAGACAGAGGGGCATATTTTTTTGCTAAAAAGGATTTTTGTTTTCAGGACATTACAGAGGCAGGTCATTAAACGTGTTTATCTATTCAGTGCCCTGACCTAGTGTTTGGTAGCAATTCCTTTGAATTCTAGCTGTAGATGAGCCATAAGTCCTACTTCCTCACTGTGGTGAGAGTTTTCTTCATCTTTTTCCTGTGTGCCCTGAGTACTTCATTGAGCAACTCAAGGACACGGGGCTGGGAGTTACTATCCAGAGACCTGATTCAGGCAAATCGTTCTGGTAGAACTGTTTTATTTAAGAGAAACAGATAAGGATCAAAATAGTTTCATGTGCCCTCTAAAGTCAAACCATATCTAACGAGAAACCTACCTCGTGGTCTTCCATGAAAATAACCCCACCACTTCTCAATGTCCCTGTGTGCAACGTGACTATTGTATTATCCATTCCTGGCCAGTCCACTTTGGATCCTGCTCAGTGAGAACCACATGTATTCCCATAAGCATAAGGTGAACAATCCTGGCCATAAGGAATTTTGACTTTGCTGAGATTGGTGTTTATAAAGGGCTATCCAGTCCCATTTTGCAGGAAGAAAAATTAAAGTGGACATTATTAAGAGTAGCCTGCATGCTATAAATAATCTTGAATGATAAGATGTGGCTGTGTGTTATACCCCAGCATATCTCTCTCTCTCTCTCTCTCTCTCTCTCTCTCTCTCTCTCTCTCTCTCTCTCTCTCTCATATTTAGAATGTGGTATATTCTCGAGAGTCTGTTAAACTGTTTTATAAACATTTATCTTTCATTACAATGAAATGGGGTGCCTACTTTAACCATTCCTATTTCACCTGAGAAAATAAAAGCACGGGGAGCTTAGAGATCTTGACAAAGACAGACAAACAGCAGATGATAGACCCACTACTGGGGCCTGTGCAGTCCATCTCCATAGACAAACATTCAAGTCTCCTTTATGCAGCACTCTGTTGCTGCATAAAGTCAGCTTTATATCATCAATATACCCAATAAGAACAAATGAGAGGAGGAAAAGTTTATTTTGGTTCATAGTTTCAGAGGTTCAGTCCATAGTCAGCCAATTCCATAACTCTGGGCCCAAAGTGAAGCAGAACATCAGGGCAGAAGAGCATGGAGGAGGAGAGCTGCTCAGTTCCTGACAGCCAGGAAGCAGAGAGAGAAAAGATCTCTGCTCACCAGGGAAAAATATAAACTCCAAAGGCATGCACCCAGCGACCTACTTCCTCCAGCCATACCCTACCTGCCACCCAGTCAATCCATTCAAATGGTTCATCCATCAATTAGTTTACAGTTTAACCACTTCACCTCTGAACAGTCTTGCATTATCTTGTACATGAACTTCTGGTGGAAACCTCATATTTAAACCATATCAATTATATAAAAAATACAGTGTGACTGTTGTTCAATTTAATACAGCTTTTTCATTCAGGAGACAGATCTGTTTATTCACAAATTCCCAATGGTCACAACGATATCTGATACTTAATAAGCCCATTTAAGATGTTTGTGAAAAATGAATGAAATTAGGCAGTTTTAGTAGCTATGATTAACTCATAGAAGGCAA